TGGGCGCCTGCCTGAGGCTGGGGGCCCAAGCCCGCTCCCCGGACGCCCTCAGTGCGGCCGGCATCACCCGCCTTCCCCTCCCAGGCTCGGCTGAAGCCGCCTCGGGCAGGGCGGCCACACCTGGTCACTGCGGACCTGTGCGGGCCACGCCGCCCAAGGTTCTATGCCTCAGTTTCCCCACCCGTCAAACAGGGCTGAGGACGGGGCTGGTGTGAGGGTCAGCCCCGCGGCTGCTTTGTCAGAAATCGCCATCGCCGCCAACGCCCGTGCCCCCGCGCCCGCCTCGTGCCCAGTCCCACCGGACACGGGTCGCCCCAGCCCCCGTCTCGGGGGGTGTCTCCTGGCCCTGGCCTGGGTGGGGTCTGCAGCCACCAGCCCGCAGAGGTCGACGTCCCAGCGCCTGCTGGGCCCAGCCGGCCACTTGGACTGGCGCTGTGGCCAGGAGCTTGGCTGCGGTTTGTCCAAGAGCGACCTGTGCAGGGACCAGCAGGGGCGGAAGGGGGCCAGGCCCCGCGGGGCTCTGGCTGAGGCCCCCTGGAGCAGGCGGGGAGCCAGCAGGACCGAGAGGAAGGGGCATCCCCCGCGGGCGCGGCAGCCCGCCGGGGGAGGAGGGCACGGCGGGGCCTGGCCCGAGGGCCCGGGCCTGGATGCCGAATTCAGCCGGAGCCTGTGGAGTCGGGCTTGTTTATTCTTGGCAGGAAGGCCGGTGCTGGGGGGCGGAGGCGGGGAGTGAAGCCTTTCAAAAAATAATAATAATAAAAACGCTCATTTAGAAGGCTCCCAAGACGTGCCGAACACCAAAAGGGTCCTGGAAAAAATGCTGAGAAGGTTTAAGTGTAAATGGACCCAAAACATCATAATTAAATTTCCCTTAAATTTACCAGAGTTTGGGGTCAAAGAAAAAATAAAACTTAGGGAAAATACACTTGAGGTTTCAGGCAAATGCCAAGTGCTTAGGAAAATAGATTTCTGAGCTGCTCAGCGGCTACCGGCCTGGCCCCCGCCAGCCCAGCCCAGGAACTGCGGCAGCCTTAACCCCTCCCTGGCCGCCCGGGGCCGCCTCCACACCGCCCTCACTCTCGGCCCGCCCCCGGGGCCGCTTCTGCCCCCACCAGCCACCTCCTGCCCCTCAAGCCGCGGGGCAGCCCTTGGTGCCAGGCTCCGCTGGGAGCAGGGGGGCCCCTCATCCCCAGCCTGGGCCGGAGTCCCCCGGGCCAGCCTGAGCCTTCATCACTGCACCCCCCGCCCCCGCCGTTCCTGTGTCTATAGACAGCCCCGGTCTCCCTTTTTTGCTCCTCCGGAAGCGACCACATTTTCCAAATCCAAAGTCGGGACTTGAGGCCTAGCGGTCTGCGTGAACCCAGGGGCAGGAAGAGCAGCCTGTTTGACTGGGGCGGTCAGGGCCCCTCTGAGAAGACAGCCTCTAGACAGCACAGGGCGTGTGGTGCTGCCCTTTTTGCTCGGCCTGACAGGAAGCTCAGAGCGAAAAGCGAGGACGTGCTGCCGTAGCTAGTGCTGGCCAATCAATGCATTTTGGAGTGTCTTCCCCTGTCCACGTTCCTGCAGGTTCCTTTTCCGTGACGAGGAGCCGCCCACCGCACTTTTTATTTGAGGCCTGAATTTCTTTGCGAAAGAGAGAAAAAGGCAGAAGTTGTCCGCGGCCCACAACAGCTGCAGCCGCCCTCAAATTCGCTCTTTCTCCTGGGTGGGGGGGGGCCGGCGGAGGCCGCGGAGCCGCCTCTGGCTCGACACTGTCTCCGGACGGGAGCTGAGCAGGGCTCCCCTGCCTGGGGCCGGGCCTGGCCGTGGCCTTGGTGGGCACCGGTGGATGGGGTGTGCGTGGCAGCCGCCGGGAGTGCGGCAAACAGCGGCGGGATGTGGATTCAAGGCCGCAGCGGGAAGGTCCCCACGGCTGGGTGCCCCTCAGAGCCTGCCCCAGCACTGGCGGCCCGGGCCGGGCTAGGGGGGTGCGGGGCAGGTAACCAGGGCAGCAGCTGCGCCCAGGGCAGGCTGCACCCAGCTTCCCTCCCACGGAGGTGCTTTCGGAGCTCACGGCACAGGCCCCAGCAAGCCAGCCGCCGGCTCTGAGTCACCCAAGGCTGGGCCGGGCACGGCTGCCCCAGCCCCGACTCCTGCCTCCCGGGCCTACCCTACTCGCCGCGGCTCAGGACCCCTCGGGCGTGGGCCCTGGGAGACCGGTGGGCGTGCGGGGCGCGGGGCGGGGCCGGGGCAGCCCCTCGGAGCCCTGTGCGTGCGCTGTTCTGGCCCCTGGCGGGCTGTTCCCCACTGCCCCGCCTGGCTCACCTGTCTGGTGGCCCAGGGGCGCCAGGTGACGTTGCAGAGGGTCTCCGGGGACATGGCCCATCAAGGGGTGGGTGCTGAGGGCTCCTCTATGAAAGTGTCGCTGACGTCTACATCGCGGGCAGGGGTTGGCGCCCCCGACAGCAGGCCCGGCCGGAGCAGAGGGGTGGCCCGGGGGCACCGTGCGGGCGCCTGGGAAGCGACGGCCGTGAGGAGCAACAGTGTGTGGTCAGGAACCTCAACGCCGCCGCACGCGGGGCCCTCCCCTGGGCGCCAGGGACCGCGGCTCTTGGGTGTTGGCCGTGGGCAGCGCTCGGGCCCCTTTGAAGCCTGACCCCCCTTCAGAGCCCAAATCAGCCCAGAGCCGCAAAAATGCTCCTGACCTTTGGCCTACACGCCACCAGACAGCCACTGGGGAGGCTGGATGAAGGGACCACTCCGTTTGTGGGGGGCAGCACCAAAGGAACCAGCCAGGACGGGGGATGTGGAGGGCAGATGGGGGTCCCCGAAGAACCGGTCAATGCCCTGGCCCCCGAAACCCAGCCGTGTGACCTTATTTGGAAAAAGGGTCCTTGCAATTAAGGGAAGCTCTTGAGAGGAAGAGATGGTGTTGGAATACCGGGTGGGTCCTACGTCCAATGGTACGTGTCCTTATAAACCATGGACTAAAGAGGCTGGAGGGATGCAGCCACAAGCCAAGGATGCCTGGAGCCCCCAGAGGCTGGAAGGGGCGGGAGGAGCCCCCTGGAGCCCCCTGCAGGGGCCCCGCCCTGCGACCCCTTGCTCCCAGGCCCCTCGCCTCCGGGGCTCTGAGTGTGGGGGGACCTGCAGCAGCAGCGCTGGGAAAGGAGCACAGGCTGTCAGCACCCAGGGCTGCCCAGGGGGGGCCCCCTCCCCGCAGGCCAGAGGCGGGCGGAGCAGCCCGCAGCGGGGGCACTGCCCGTGTGCTGCCTGCTGGCCAAACCCACACAAAGCTGGAGAGCAGGCGGGCCTGTGACGCCATGTGAGCTGGTGGGGACACCCCTGGAGAACGGCGAGCACAGGCCCTCCGGCCCCCGCGGCTCCTCAGCCAAGGGCACAGGCCTGGGGGCAGAGAGCAGGAAGCTGCTCGGGGACAATGGGTGGACGCCCCCCCTCTCAGAGGCCACGGGGGGCCATGGAGGGGCTGCGGGCTCCACCCCTGGAGGGGGGGACCTACGGCAGGCTCTGCGGAGCCCTTCTGGGCCTCAGGAGGGTCCCCGGGAAGGCCAGCCCTCAGGTGCCAGCCACCGGGCCCTCCTCCCTGCCCCGCCCCGCCCCAGGCTGACTCCTGCCCAGGCGGCCAGCTGCTCCTACAAAGGCAGCAGAGGTTCGGGACCCGGCCAGCCCCTGCTCCCCAGGGAGGAGAGTGGCAGCCCACCGCGACCCTGGTACACTCAGTAACTAGCTAAGGAGCTGGCTGGCAGACTGCGCCAGAATGTGCCGTCGGGAGGGTGTCCTGGGGGAGGGCCTAGGGCTGTGCGCCAGAGGGACCCGGAGGGCCCCCCGAGTTCAGCGGACCCCAGCCTGCCTGGGAGACTCGGGCAGAGTGCAGCGGGGCGGGCGCCAAGGACAGCCTGGTGTGGTCGGGGTGCTCCGCTGCTGGCGGGCACGCGAGTGGGGGGGGTGATGTGAGGGCTCCCCGTGGGGGGCTCTTCCAGGGCCTGGAAGTCTGGCCTCAGAGGCGGGGGGGGGCCCCCGCTGGCCCCCACACAATGGGCAGCCCCTGGAGCTGAGGGTGGCCTGAGCAGCCAGTGCCAAAGGGGCATTCACGGCCCACTTTCCTGATGGACAAACCGAGCCCCAGCAGCCAAGCCAGGTGGGCCAGAGGGGCTCTGCCGGGGTGGCCAAGCCTTGCCCAGCGGACACCAGCTCTGGCTCCCATGGGCTCCTCCCTCCTGGGAGTGTCTGAAGCGGAGAAGAGCCCTCTCCTCGTGAAGGTGGGCACAGAAGCCACAGCCACATGGGCACAGCCAGGCTGGCGCGGGCCTGCCACCCGCTCCCCGGGGTCCTTCCTCAGGGCCCTAAGGCTGGGCCCCAGCCCCTGCTCTGCCTTCCGAGGCCGGGAAGCACACGGCCTCCACACTTGTGTCTCCTGGGGAAGCGGGGTAAGGACCCCTCCGGCAGGGAGCTCAGGCAGCCCAGCGACATGTGTGCCACGGTCGCTCTATAAAAGCAGCAGCGAGCTCCTGGGGTGCAGTCCCCATGCAGGTCAGCCCCAGGTCCTTGCATCTAGCATTCCTCCCCTTCGTTCGCCGCCACCGCCCCACGCAGCGCTGCTGCACTCGGGCTTCACCCACTGAGACCACCCTGAGCCCCCGGTCGGCGGCTGGCGGGAAACCGGGACTGCGCGCTGCGCAGAGGCGTACGCTCGGCCTCCCCGTGCGCCCAGCGGCGGGATCCGGGACCTCACCCGCCTAGCCCCGGCTCCCACGCCCTCCGAGACCGCCCGGCGCCCCCGCCCGGCCCCGCCCCCTCTAATCCCCTCCGCGGGCTGCGGAGAGTCAGGCTGCGGGCCCGCCCCCGGACCGCCCCAGGGGAGGGGCGTGTCCCCTCGGCCCTGCGCGTCGGGCGGGCGTGGCCGGGCTAGGCCGGGCTAGGCCGGGGCGGGGCCGGGGGCGGGGCGGGCGCGGGCCGGCCCCCACTGGCTGCCGCGCGCCCGGCCGCCAGGACTCAGTGCGAGGTGGCGGCGGCGGCGGCGCGGGCGGCTGGTGCTGCGCGGTCCTGGTCGGCCGGGCGCACGGACGCACCGGCGAGCCGACGGCCGGAGGGACCGGGTGCAGGCGCTGGGCCGGCGGGCTGTGAGCGGAAGAAAGGGCAACGAATAGGACACCGGCGACCGCCAGGTCGGTGCGCGGGGCCAGGGCGGGCGCGGGAGGGGTCGAGGCAAGCGCGCGGCGGGGCCAGAGCGCGCGGCGGGCTCGGATCCCGAGCGGTCCCTGTAGCGGGGCCCGGCCGGGGCGCGGGCTTCCCGCTCTGGAAAGTTTGCCGCCGCCGCCGCCCTGGGAGGGCTCTGCAGCAGCCAGGCGGGGAAGGGGGAGGAGGGAGGGACCGCGGCGGGGAGGAGGCGGCCGGCGCCAGGCGGCCCGGGAGCCCTGGGCGGCGGCGGCGGGCGGGGCGGCCCGAACGGCCGGGGGTCGGAGGGGCCGGGGCGCAGGACCCGGCCGCCGCCGCTTCCTCCCTTGAGCGCCGGGTCTGCCCGGGTAACGAGCTGCCCGCCTCCCGCAGACTCCCGAGCGGCGCCCTCCTCCTGCCGGTGCCAAGGCCGGGCCATGGGGGGCAGCATGCCCGCGAGCACTGCTTGAAGACGCCGTAGCCCCCGCCCCCGCGATGGGCGCTCCGGCTTGGGCTGTCGCGTTCTGCGTGGCTGTGGCGGTCGTGACCGGCACCGCTTCGGGGCCCCCGGGCGTGGAGCAGCGCGTCGTGCGGAGAGTGGCAGGTAAGGACGGGCCGGACGGAGACAGGGGAGGGGCCACGGGCCCGGTGGGCAGAAGAAGCGTCCCGGCCTGGGAACGGGCGCCTGGGTGGGTGGTGGACGCCGATCCAAGTGGGCCCCAGGGCGCGCCGCGGGCTGGCATCGCGGCGGCAGTGTCGGGGTTTCTGTCGCCCTCCCTCCCTGGGGATCGCGGCCAGAGCTGGCACGGCAGTGTGTGGGGCGCCTGGAGCCGCAGGGCTACCACCCAAGTGCGCGGCTGCGGTGGGTGCCGGCCGGGCCCTGGCGTCTGCAGCCCCCCGCCTCTGCGCGGCCCCCCGGGTGGGGGTGCAGTCGGCCCCGGCGCCGTCGGGAGGGCGCGGGCTCTGCGTTTCCAGGATCCCTATTGTTGTTCTGTGGGTTTTGCACTGACGGAAAGTTTCTATTGTTGGTGCCGCTCCCCCAATCGCCTTCGGGCCCCAGTTCATGGCCAGCTTCGGCCAAGGCGAGGGACCGCACTTTAGAGGGAGGGCAGGAGAGTGCGTCAGCGCGCGGCAGGGCCCGCGCTCCCCGGCGGCCCGCCTGACAAGGCGCTGCCTTCCAGTGCCTCCGGCCGCCCGCCCCGCTCTCCGGCCCTGTGGCTGGACGTGTCTGCCCCCGACGGGCACACGCTGGGCACCGCGAGTGCGAGGGCGGACATCCGAGGGACCTGGAGCTGCGGACCCCGGATGGTGGTCCAGGTCCCGCGGGACGTCAAAGGTCTCCAGGAGGGCCCGGCCGGCCGGGCGATGGCCTCTGAGGTGTGGGAGCGCGTCTGGGCGCCAGGCCCCGCCCCGCACACGCGCCACGGCCCTCGAGGCGGTGAGCGCGCCCCGCCGGCCTGGCCGGACGCTCCCCGTGCCACCGCCCCGCAAGCGCGCCTCCGGGCTCCGGGCGGCAGGGCAGGAACGCGTGGTCCGGCTCGCGGCCACGGGGAGCCCGCCGCCTGGGGACGGCCACCTCCGGGGCGCGGATGAGGGGGCTGCGCGACGCCTGCCCGCGGCCCGGCAGCCGCGCGGAGGGAGGCCTTCGCCCGGTGAGCTCACGCCCCACCCGGGCGCACCCGAACAGCCGCTCCTTTGTACCTCGGCGCGGCCACAGACGCGCATTGATGGCGGGGCCGGCCGCCTCGCGGGGAGGTGTGAGCGCAGCGGCTGGGGCGCGCCGTGCCAGCGAGGCGGCGGCCGGCCGCGGGCAGGACGCAGGCAGATGGTGGCCCGCCCCTCCCTGCGCCCCCGCGCCCCTTTCTCCGGCGGCGGCTGCAGCCTCCCGGAACAATGTCATTTTTTTATGAATGAAAGTGGGCCCGGCGCTTGAATGTGCGTGTCATTCAGCGGCGTGACAGAGGCCGTCGGGAGGTCAGCGCGCGCTTTTAGCGCCTGCTCGGGCGGCCCCCCGCTTCCAGGGGCGCCGAATAAGCGGCCGCGGGGGAGGGGGGCGCATTAGCATTCGCATTCGCATTCAGATAAAGATATTACTCCCTATGGCCGGGGAATGTCAACTAGAGCCGGGGGAGGGGGCGGCGGGCCAGCCGCAGACCCTCTCCTGGACCCCTGTGGCGCTCGGGGCTCTGGCCGCCTCCGTCCCCCTCCCGGAGCCCGCAGGGCCTCGAGGCCCAGTTCCGAGGCCGCAAAGCCTGCGGTGCCCCCGCCGGATGCGGGCCTGGGTCGGGACGCGGCGAAGACCCTCAGGGACGCGGGAAGGGGGCCAGGGCCTCCTGTCTCAGCAGAGCGGGCCCTCTCCTCCGCCCCCGCAGTGCAGCTGGTGAAACAGGTAGTAAGTAGATAGGTCAATAAACCTAATCCGGTTCCTTTGAGAGATGGGCTGGGCAGCAAACACACAAAGGCCTTGTGCAATGTCCAGAGGTGCCGGCTGGCACTTTCCGGGGAACGTAAGTCACAGAGCCGGAGCCGGCCGGGGTCAAGGACAGTGGTGGGGAAGGTGACCTGCTGCGAGGTGCTGCGGAGCAGCTCCAGGCCCAGGAGGCGGCCTGCCTCTCCGCAGGGGGTCACGTTCTCGGGGAGGGGCCCAGGCAGGATCCCCGGCGGGGCAGGGAGGCCGGTGGGAGCAGCAGGAGGCTGGCCCCCTGCAGCCTGACCGCACCCAGTCAGCAGGGGTCTGGCGGGTGCGGGGCCTCCCTTCAGGCACTGGCTGCAGCTCTCCCTCCGCGGGGCTGGACTTTGAGCCTCCGGGGCCTCTGGGTGGTTCATTAACCTGGGCTGAGCCCCAGGCCGGAGTCCACCAGGGCCTCCCCCCAAGCTCCGGGGCTGCAGGTCCCACGGGGGCCCGTCGCCCTAGAAAAAAGCCTTGTAGGGGTTTATTTGAGCCAAACTGACGCGGGAAGCGAAACCTCACAGGACTGCGGCAGCGCTCGGGAGGCGGCCGTCCGCGTGGCTTCTTTCCTCCCTCAGAGCGAAAGCAGGGAAGCCTCTGGGGTTGGAGGAGGGAGACACAGGCGTTGCTGCGTCGGGGGTCCGGGGCCGTGGCGGTGCGCGGGGGAACGAGGCCACAGCGCCCCCCCCCGCCCCCGTGTGCCCCGCAGGGGCCTGGAGGAGATCGCTGGGATGGTTCAACAGTGCGCTCCCTTATCTTCGGTGCGCAGAGGATCGGTTTCAAAGGTCAAAACTGACCTTTGTCAAGGAAGCTACGGGCCTGGCGCGTGACCCGCGGCCCTGACCCCCGGCCCTGACCCGGTCCGTCGGGCAGTTTTACGATCAGGCCACTCTGCGTGGTGACGTTGTCCGTCTCTGGGCCTGGCCTCCCCGGAGCTGGTCGGGTGTAGTGTGTGGCCCCTTTTCTATCCACGAGCCCCATGTCACAGGTGGACCTAGAGAGGGAAGAGGGGTGTCCTTGAGGAGGTGGGACCGGTCTGCCCGGCTGGGGTTTGGGGGCGCCCCCCGCCGGCCCCCACAGGCCTGAGTGATGTAAAAGGGAAATGAGCTGGGGACGGCGGAGCCCCTTCGGGCTGGGCGGGGCGGGCGCCCTGACCCCAGGCCCTGCGTTGGGGGCTCAGGCCGCCAGCGGCCCACCGGGCCCTGGGTGCCCCCTCCCGCCTCGGTTCCCTCGCCTGCCCCAGAAGGCCGGGAAGGGGAGGGCTGCTGAGAGGGTGCGGCAGGATCACCCTGAAAGCCCTCGGTGGCCCGCCCGCCGCCGGGGCCCCCCCTTTTTGTTCTGACTTTGTTACAAAACTCGTCAGGACGTTTCCAGGTTCGGAGGCCAGAACCTTTGCCTGGGGGGGCTCCTCCCTTAGGCCCCTTCACAGCGTATCCCGGGCCGCACCCCCCACCCGAGGGGGGCCGTGACGGTGCCCTGCAGCCGTGGGCACCTTGGGGTCCGCTCTGCGTCGGACGCTTGTTTCCTGGCGTCGCCCACAAGGACCTTGTCACCTGGGCGCTGGTGCCCCCGTGGCTTGGTGACTCCTCACCGGGAGCACACACAGGCTGGCTCTGACCACGGCCCGGGGGCCGTCAGCCCTGGCAGCAGGCCCAGGGCCAGGAGGGGCTCTCGCCCCACTGCCGTGTGCTCCGGGGCGCTAGCGGCTTGTGGTGGTCCTCTGCCCTGCCAGCGGCATTTTACCCGGTGCACGGGGGTGGAAACGGAGGCACGGGGCCAGGGCGTGTCAGAGCCGGGGAGCTCCGTGGCTGGGAGAGACGCCTGCAGGCCCGCCCGGCCCCTCCGGGGTCGCCACCCCTCGGGCTCCGGCGACGGGCTGCCCTTGGCCTGCAGCCCCCGGTCGAGCTCAGCCCCGGGCAGCGGCGCCGGGGGGCGGGTTGCACAGGGCGGAGCAGCCCCGTGGAGCCCACAGGGGCAGAGGTTCCACCTGCCCACCCGCCGCCGCGGCTCGCAAGTGCCGCTGGGGCGTGCAGGACTCCTGTCTTCCTGTGTGTGGGCCGCAGTGTCTGTGTGGGTCTAGGGAGCCCCCTTTTTCTTACTCAAGAAAGACCCCGTCCCCAGGCCTCTTTGGGGGCGGGGCTGCAGGCCCCCCAGGTAGAGCCGGACCCTGGACCCTGGCCTTCCGTGGGGCCCCCTGCTGCCCCCCCACCCCACCTCGTGCGCCCCCGAGGCTGCACGGGGCCTGTGTTTTGGCTCTGCTGGGGCGGAGACTCTGCGGGGATCGCTGACCTGGTCTGGGGGTGACCGCCCTGCAGGCCCGGAGCCGCGCAGGGGGCGGGCGGCGCAGGGGCGAGCCCCGCCCCCACCCCGCGGGCGCTGCCAGGCGTGGCTGGCCTGGTTCGCTCTGCGTCCCCTCAGCCCGGCGCTGGACCGGGTTGAAGCGAATGCTTGTGCGGATGGTTTGACCTGCCCAGGCCAAAGCGGAACCGACGGCTGTTGCCCTTGGGCCGGCGCCTGGGGTTGAGACTGCTGCTCCGGCCGCTTCTTGGCCTTCTGGGGGGCCTCGTCCACTCCCGGCCCTGGGTGGTCCCCACAGGATGCAGTGGCCAAGGCTGGGGGGGCTGGAGGCCAGGCCAGACGTCCTCAGACTCCCTCTGGCGGTGCCGGGCTTGCGAGAAGCGGGAGGCGGGCAGGCAGACCTGGGCCTGCCCGGGAGCCGGGGGCAGTGTGGCCCGAGGGGCAGCTGGCCCTCGAATCTAGGCCATGCGTCGGCAGAATGACAAGTAACGGAGCAGCTGACCCAGTCGGGTGGGGAGGCGGCCTGTGCAGCGGACAGGGCCCTGCGCCTGGCATTGTCTGGCCCCGGCGGGGCGGGCGGGGGTGGGGGCGGCCGGGCCAGGGCTGTGTCCCTGGGTCCCCGGCGGGTGGGCCTCCTGGGAGCTGGGCAGCCGCTGGCGGGGCTGGGGGGCTCCTCTTCGGACGTCTCCTTCCCCAGCCTTTTGTCACCTGTAAAATGGGGGTCCCAGGCCCCTTCACGCCAAACGCAGGATGGAGTTTTGCGTTTCTAAATGGCTGAAAAAACTGCGGAGGAAGACGCCTCCTTCGTGACACCCTGAGGTGGGACTGGGTGCACAAACGAGGCCCCGCCGGGATGCGGCCACCCCCGGGTGTGCGGGCTGCACGCAGATGCCGGAGCGGCAGGGCCGTCCCCGGGGTGAGGCCGGCGGGCAGGTGAAATGACGCCTCGGCCCGATGCCCTCCTGCCGCAGCCGTGCGGCGTGTCTGGGAGGTGGGGGCCGTGGCGCCTCCCAGAGGTGCTGCTGAGCGCCCGGTGTTCTCGGCGCGCACACTGCCCTCACGGTTGCCTGTCTTGCCCACAGAGCTCCCGGGGCCAGAGCCCGGCCCGCAGGAGCAGCTGGTCTTTGGCAGTGGGGACACCGTGGAGCTGAGCTGCCACTCGCCTGCCGGTGGCCCCACGGGGCCCACGGTCTGGGTTAAGGACGGGGCCGGGCTGACACCCTCGGACCGAGTCCTGGTGGGGCCGCAGCGGCTGCAGGTGCTCAACGCCTCCCACGAGGACGCCGGGGCCTACAGCTGCCGGCAGAGGCTCACCCAGCACGTCCTGTGCCACTTCCGCGTGCGTGTGACAGGTGGGTGTCTGCCAGCCCCCCGGGCAGTGTGGAGGCGGGGCCTCGGATGAGGGAGAGCAGGGCCTCCCCGGGCGACACTGAGGGACAGGCCAGGATGGGCCGCCACCTCGACCTGGGTGCCGGACGCGGGCCCTCCCCCACGTCCCCTCTTCCCTGCCCTGCAGATGCCCCGTCCTCGGGAGACGATGAAGATGAAGAGGAGGAGGCAGAAGATGCGGGTGAGAGACCAGGGTTCCGAGGAGCGGGAAACGCCCCCCTGGGCTCCAGCGGGCAGGCAGGTGGGGAGGGACCGGCTGGGCAGAGCCCAGAGAGGGGCCTGGGAGAGTCGGGGGCTGGGCCCACGGCCCCGAGGGCCCAGGCCCCAGGCCTCAGGGCGGCAGGAAGGGCTCCGGCCCGAGGACGAGGATGCGCTGCCCTTGGTCCGTCAAGGGGTCGGAGCTGAACGTCACCCTGCCTGGTCGCCCCCCGCCCTCTCCCGGCCTCGCTCGCTGGGGGTCCTGGCCGTTTCGGGCTGAGGCCTGCCGTCCCTCTGTCTGTGTGGGCTGTGGGTGCCTCTGCCCCCTGGACTCCGGACACCTGGGAGGGCCCCGCCCAGCGCCTGTCCACGCACCCCCTGCGCGGGCCTCAGCGCCCTCCCGTGGAGGGCGGCAGGCTCACGGGGAGGGGAGCCCCCGGGGGGACGCCTGCTCAGCCCCCCACGGCAGGAATGCGGCCCCCACCCTGACCCCAGAGACGGAGAAGGAGAAAAACCAGTTGCGCTCTGAGGGTGGGGGCGGGGGCAGCCCTGAAACCAGGGGCGGGGGGCGGGGCCTCTGGGGGCCACGTCACTGTGTCCCAGCTGCTGCCCTTCAGGCCCCGGGGCGCAGCAGAGGGTGGCGCCCGGGAGCCCCCAGGGCTCCTGGCGGGAGGAGTGGCCGTGCGGGCCCTGTGGTGCCCTGAGGCCAGGCCTGCTCCTCCTGTGCTGAGTGCCCTGACCGGCCCCTCTGCCCGCCGGGCAGGCCCCCGGGAGGCCCCTCCTCCCTGGAAGGCTCTGGGGGCGGCCCCCGGGGGACGTGGGGCCCGGCTGAGAGGACACCGCAGGTGGCGGGGAATCTGCCGGGGCCGCCAGCCCAGGCAGGGGTCCTCGAAAGGCCCCCCGCAGAGGGGAAACAGGCTGGAGGGTGGGCCTTGGGCCTCAGCACCCCTGGCTCACGGCCTCCCGGTGCCTGTCGCCAGCGGGAGCCCCTTACTGGACTCGACCCGAGCGGATGGAGAAGAAGCTGCTGGCTGTGCCGGCCGCCAACACCGTCCGCTTCCGCTGCCCGGCTGCCGGCAGCCCCACCCCGTCCATCACCTGGCTGAAGAACGGCAAGGAGTTCCGGGGCGAGCACCGCATCGGGGGCATCAAGGTGGGCCCGGGGGCGGGGGCCGGCCGTGGGCTCCGGGGCCGCCTGGCCAGCCGCCCTCACCGCCGTGTCCGCCCGCAGCTGCGTCGCCAGCAGTGGAGCCTGGTCATGGAGAGCGTGGTGCCCTCCGACCGCGGCAACTACACCTGCGTCGTGCAGAACCAGTTCGGCAGCATCCGGCAGACCTACACCCTGGACGTGCTGGGTGAGGCCTGGGGCCGCCGGGCGGCGGGCGGGGCGGGGGCCCGGCGGCCGCTGCTAAGCCCAGGCCGGTCCGTGTGTCCCCAGAGCGCTCTCCGCACCGGCCGATCCTGCAGGCGGGGCTGCCGGCCAACCAGACGGCGGTGCTGGGCAGCGATGTGGAGTTCCACTGCAAGGTGTACAGCGACGCGCAGCCCCACATCCAGTGGCTCAAGCATGTGGAGGTCAACGGCAGCAGAGTGGGGCCGGACGGCACGCCCTACGTCACCGTGCTCAAGGTGGGCGCCGCCCCCGGCTGGTGGGAGCTGGGGCGGGCGTCCCGGCCCGCCCGTGGTTGGGCGCAGGGGCTGGGCCCGCGGGGAACTGCACTGGGCCCTGCCCTGCCCAGGAGGTGGGGCTGAGTCCCAGCTCAGTTTCCCTGTCTGCTCTCAGCAGGGGCCTCGCCCTGGAAGCAGAGGGCACCCCGGGGTGGGCGCAGCCCCAGGCCCTAGCCCGCAGGTGCTGCTGAGCCCGCCGAGCCCCGGCTCGGGCCTGGGAGGCCAGGCCCTGCCGGAGCTGGGAGGAGTGGGGGGCCTGGGCGTGGCCCTTGTGTGCCGAGCAGCTCGCCACCCGGCCTGCCTCTCAGCCTCGGGGCAGGACGGCCTCAGCTCTGTTCCCAGGGCCCCTGGGTGGGGGCCACCCGAGTTGGGATGGTTGCGACACTTGCAGCCCAAAGAGAAACATCTGTTTAGAGACGAGACAGGCCGACGGGGGAGGGGAGCGGGGCCCAGGCGGAGGAGTCCAGACCCGGCTGGGAGAGGCCAGCGGGGCCCCGCGGGCGGTGTCTGGGCTCCCGGGGCCGCACGTGAGCCGCCTGCCGCGTCCCGGGCTGGGCAGGCCTGGCTCCGGGGCGGGTGGGCTGAGCAGCAGCCCTGCGGGGCCTCCCGGGGGTGCCTGCCAGGGCTCGGCTCGGGGCCCGGGCGGGTGGGCGCAGAGAAGGCATGTCCCCTGGAACAGGCTTCTGCGGGGGCGGGGGGGGGTCTCCGCCCCTCCCCCAGGCAGCCCTCTGGGCTGACCCGGCCCCGCCCTCTCCTCGAGGGTCTCCTGCCGCCGGCTCCGGAGCCTCAGGACCTGGGGCGGCCCTCGGGGGTGGGGCTGGGGTCCTGGGCCCAGACCGGGCCGCTCCCGCGCGCAGCCACCCCGGGCGCGGCCGGGCCGCCGCGGGGCGCCTGAGCCGGGCCTCTTGTCCCCGCAGTCCTGGATCAGTGAGGCCGTGGAGGCCGACGCGCGCCTCCGCCTGGCCAATGTGTCCGAGCACGACGAGGGCGAGTACCTCTGTCGGGCCTCCAATTTCATAGGCGTGTCTGAGAAGGCCTTTTGGCTGCGCGTCCACGGGCCCCAAGCAGGTAACAACTCTGTCCCACGCCTGCCTGGCCCGCCGAGCTCCAGCGCCGACGCCCTGGCCACGCGCCCGCGGCACGCCCCGCCCTGCTCGCTCCCCGCCCCTCCGCTCGCTCCGCTTCATGCGCGGCCGCCTCGGCGAGGCCGGCGCCTCTGGCCTGCGTGTGACTGCCTGCCTGGAGCCCCGTGGCCTGCTGACCCCGCCTGTGCCCCCCCCCAAGGCCTTCCGCCCCGCAGGGGCCGGGCCCCCTTCCTGCGGGCACCGCTTTCCTCCCGCCGCCGAGGCCCCGGCCCCGCTGCCTGCTCACTTCCTGTCCGTCTTCCTGTCCGTCTGCCTGTGCCCCCCTCCGAGTGTCTGCGCTAACCCCGCACGCTGCTGGCCACACGCCTGGTGCTCACGTGGGACAGAGGACTCGCCGGTGAAGGGACTGGCTTCGGGCTCGGTGTGGACGCGCGAGGCGGAGGACCCTCGGCCACCGTGGCGGTGGCGGTGGTGGCGGCCGCGTTTTCTTTGCAGCCTGGCCGGATCGTCGCCGTGGGGACGCTGGCTCTGGTGCCCCTGGGGGAGCGGGCGCTCGCCTATCGCGCTCTGTTCTCTCTTTGTAGACGGCGGGCGCTAACACCACCGACAAGGAGCTAGAGGTTCTGTCCTTGCGCAATGTCACCTTTGAGGACGCGGGGGAGTACACGTGTCTGGCGGGCAATTCTATCGGGTTTTCCCATCACTCTGCGTGGCTGGTGGTGCTGCCAGGTACTGGCTCCTGCTGCTGCTCGCTCTGCACCTGTCCGCGGGCCGCGGGCTTGGGACACGCCAGCGCTGCCAGGGACGGGCGGGGCACCCTGAGGCTCACGGCCGCCCTGCCCGGTGCCAGGCCCCGTGCCTGGGACGGGGTCAAAGTCAACCTGGCCCTGTCCTGACCCAGCGGGGCCCCCATGGAGCCCCTGCGCCCAGCTGGGCCCTCACAGCCCGCGCGGCAGCGTTGGCGTCTCCCTGGGTTGCGGGCGTGGGTGCTGCTGGCTCTGCTGGGCTCCTCCTCTTGGGCATTTCTGACCACAGGACCCTCACTGAGTGGGGCGTCGGCCTCAGCGCCCCCACCGGGGCTGAGCTCCCCTCCTGGCCCCCATGCCCCTGCGGCCCCGGGTGGCCGGGGGCCCGTGGGGGTTCGCATGCGGCTAGGCCAGGCCCCGATGCCCATGTCTTTGCAGCCGAGGAGGAGCTGGTGGCGGCGGGCGAGGCGGGCAGCGTGTACGCAGGTGTCCTCAGCTACGGCATGGGCTTCCTGCTCTTCATCCTGGTGGTGGCCGCCGTGACGCTCTGCCGCCTGCGCAGCCCCCCCAAGAAGGGCCTGGCGCCCACCGTGCACAAGGTCTCCCGCTTCCCGCTCAAGCGACAGGTAACAGAAAGTAGATACCAGGTTCCGAGCTGCCCGTCCGCCTGCCGCGGCCGCCCAGGGCCCCCCGTGGCCCACTCTTCTGGCGCCCGAGCTCAGGGACGCCTGTGGTGCCGAGGGCCCGGGGCTCCCGTCTCTGCGGAGGGAGGGCCGTCCCTGGGGCCGCGCCCCGCCCCCGCCCCCCGTTGTGTGGCCCTGTGGCACCAACCTGCCCCTGACGACCCAAGCAGGTGTCCTTGGAGTCCAACTCGTCCATGAACTCCAACACGCCGCTGGTCCGCATCGCCCGTCTGTCCTCGGGGGAGGGGCCTGCGCTGGCCAACGTCTCGGAGCTCGAGCTGCCCGCCGACCCCAAGTGGGAGCTGCCCCGGGCCCGGTCAGTGGGGCAGACGGGACACGGGGTGCCGGGGCCTGAGCGGGCGAGGGTGGGGCGGGGCCCCAGGGGGGCAGGCCACCAAACCGCCACTTGGTGGGCGTCAGGATGACTGTTGGATGTGAGGCTGGTGGAGGAGGTGGTGCCTGGCCCACGATCTCCAGAGGTGGGGACCGTGGGGGCGGACCCGCCCCCTCAAACGGCTCCGTCTGGAGGGCACGGCAGGGGCCATGCACCAGAGGGCAGCGTCCTTCATCCTCGTGAGCACAGTCTTGGGGGCGAGTGTGGAGGGCTTCCTGGAAGCGGTGGCCCCCAGGGCGGGGCTGAGTGACAGGAGCGCTGACCGCCCCCATCTGCCGCCAGGCTGACCCTGGGCAAGCCCCTCGGGGAGGGCTGCTTCGGCCAGGTGGTCATGGCGGAGGCCATCGGCATCGACAAGGACCGGGCCGCCAAGCCTGTCACTGTGGCCGTGAAGATGCTGAAAGGTGAGGAGGCAGGTGGCAGGGCCCCGGGGCCAACCTCTGGGACTGCACCGCCTGACACCCTCTGTCGCCGCCGCGCAGATGACGCCACCGACAAGGACCTGTCCGACCTGGTGTCCGAGATGGAGATGATGAAGATGATCGGGAAGCACAAGAACATCATCAACCTGCTGGGCGCCTGCACGCAGGGCGGTGGGTGCATGCGGGGCGGCGGTGCTGGGGGCGGCGGGTGCCCGTGGGGCGGGCGCAGGGGCGGCCCCTGAGGAGCCTGTCCCCACAGGGCCCCTGTACGTGCTCGTGGAGTACGCAGCCAAGGGCAACCTGCGCGAGTACCTGCGGGCCCGGCGGCCCCCGGGCACAGACTACTCCTTCGACACCTGCAAGCTGCCCGAGGAGCAGCTCACCTTCAAGGACCTGGTGTCCTGTGCCTACCAGGTGGCGCGGGGCATGGAGTACCTGGCCTCGCAGAAGGTGCGCGGGTGTGGGGGAGCGGTCTCCGGGCCACCAGGGCTCCAGCTGGGGGGCAGGGGGCGCCGGGAGCGGGGCCCGCGGGGGCGTTGCCGGCGGGGCGGCCTCAGCCCAGCCTCTGCCCCCAGTGCATCCACCGGGACCTGGCGGCACGCAATGTGCTGGTGACCGAGGACAATGTGATGAAGATCGCGGACTTCGGCTTGGCCCGCGACGTGCACAACCTTGACTACTACAAAAAGACCACCAACGTGAGCCGGGCTCGGGGCGGGCGGGGGCGTCCGGGCCGGGGGCACCCGGCAGCCAACCTACCGCCTGCCGCTTCCTCCTCAGGGCCGGCTGCCCGTGAAGTGGATGGCGCCCGAGGCCTTGTTTGACCGCGTCTACACCCACCAGAGCGACGTGTATGTGAACCCCCGCCAGGCCTCAGGCAGTGGGGCGGGGCCTGGGGATCAGGGCAGGGCCCAGGGGGCCTGGGGGCGGACCTTGGTGCCCAGCTGGGGTCCCTCAGCCTGGCCGGGGCCCTGCCTCCAGCGGGGCCTGTCCGGGGCCGGCGGAGGCTGACGGCCCTGCACATCCCACAGGTGGTCCTTCGGGGTCCTGCTCTGGGAGATCTTCACGCTGGGGGGCTCGCCATACCCTGGCATCCCTGTGGAGGAGCTCTTCAAGCTGCTGCGGGAGGGGCACCGCATGGACAAGCCCGCCAACTGCACGCATGACCTGTGAGTGCGCGGCCCCCTGCCCTGGACGGGGGCGGGGGCGCGGGGTCCGGGCAGGGGCTGGGGGCGGCCCGCCGGCGCCTCACTGTGCGCCCCCCAGGTACATGATCATGCGGGAGTGCTGGCACGCCGTGCCCTCGCAGCGGCCTACCTTCAAGCAGCTGGTGGAGGACCTGGACCGCGTCCTCACCGTGACGTCCACCGACGTGAGTGCCGGCCCCCCCCGGCGGGGTGGCCCGGGGCGGGGGCGCGGGCGGCGGGGGCGCTGACCCCTGCCCGCCTGCCCGCCCGCCCGCCCGCAGGAATACCTGGACCTGTCCGTGCCCTTCGAGCAGTACTCGCCGGGCGGCCAGGACACCCCCAGCTCCGGCTCCTCAGGGGACGACTCCGTGTTTGCCCATGACCTGCTGCCCCCGGCCCCTCCCAGCGGCGGGGGCCCGCAGACGTGAAGGGCTCTGGCCTGCGGGCCGAGCCCCCGCCGATGTGAGAGCGGGCCCAGCCCGGGGGGCTGCTCTGGGCATGCCTGCAGCCCAGGCCCGCGGCCAGACGGATGGACGGGTGGACAGACAGCTGTGTGTGTGTGTGTGTGTGTGTGTGTGAGAGAGAGAGAGAGAGAGAGGGAGAGAGAGAGTCTGAGAGCCCCGGCGCCGGGGTTCCCGGGGCCTACCCTGCTGTACAATGGCCCCCGGCCGCTGTGCCAGCGGCTCCGGGAGGAACCGAACACAGAATGTAAGGGGCTCCTCCGCGGGCCCGCCCCAGGCTACCCGTGCCCGCGCTGCCGCCCCGCGGGGAGCAGCTCTGGGCTTGGGCATCCTCCAAGTGCCCCCGCGGGGCGTGCCTCCTCCCACCCACGTGGCACCTTGCGCCTGGGGGTGAGCACCCCTGCCCCCAGGCCTCCCCCGACCCCTGTCCCTCAGAGACTGAGATTACGGGTACCAGAAGGCGGGAGCCTTTGACTTCTATCCGAGAGGTTTATTCCAGAGATGAGTGTACATTTATATAAATAGATGCCGTGAGTGGTGCACATACATATATATAAATATCTATATGGAAGAAGAAAGGCTCCCAGGACAACTGAGGCCCGGGACTGGGAAGTCCCCGCAGCGAGACACACAGAGGCCGCCGAGGAGGGGGGGGGGCTTTCCCAGAACCACAGTTTTGTTTTAAAAATTGTACCTGGACCTGTATATTTGTAAAGCTATTTATGGGCCCCCAGGCCCGGTGCCCCCTCCCCCACAAAGCCGTAGCGTTTAGCCCGCCCCACGCCTGTGGCTGAAGCCTTAACTTATTCACAGCTGAGAAGGCGGCCGCCTCAGTCAGAGGGGCCGCCGAGGGTGTGCCCGCTGGGCACCCTGGCCCGCGCCCCCGGCCGGAGCAGCCCCTCGGGCCCCCAGCGTCGCTGTCGTGCGAGGTGACCCTGGCAAGGGTGTTTTCTTTCCTTTGGCCTTCTTTTTGCAGGGGAACTCAATTTCTGTAGGATTCTTTAGGAGATTTATTTTTGTGGACTTCAGAGCAAGCTGGCATTTCCACACAAGCCCTCACTGCCGTGCGCTGGGTGGGAGGCAGCTTCCAGCAGGGCCAGCCCTGCAGCAGGTTCAGACGTTAGTAGATGTTACAAGTTTATATGTATCTATATATATAATTTATTGAGTTTTTACAAGATGTATTTGCTGTAGATTTAACACTTCTTACGCAATGCTTCTAGACTTTTATAGCCCGGACTGCTACCTTTCAAAGCTTGGGAGAGAAAGCCGTGAATTCAGTTTTGTTACTTTTTGTACTGTTCAGTTCGGGTGGCTGTTCCCTGCTTGTCAGCGGGCAGGCCCGGCAGGGGCTCGGGGTGGTCTGTTCTCGGCCCCCAGCCTTGTGGGGGCCAAAGGTGTCGCCCACAAACTGGCAGACGTGCTTTCCAAAAATAAACAGTGATTCAGTTCAGATCCTGCTTGGAGTTTTCCGGTCTCCGGCCCTCCTGCAACTCCGAGCAGCTTCGTGTCCTCGCGGCCCCCCCCCCCCCCCCCCCCCGGGACGGGCTCCGTCGACCCTGATGCGGGGTGGCCCCCGCCTGGGCTGGCCACCACCGACACCTTCCAGCCCCGGTCTCTGGCTTGGATCGGACCAGCCCTGGGCAAAGCCAGGGTGAGGGGCGCAGCGTGTCCGGCCACGTGGGGGCTGCTGCTGGCGAGGGCAAGCATCCGTGCCCCCGATGGTCCTCGTTGCTGGAGGCCGCCCAGTGCAGGGAGTGTCGACACCCTGGTGTCCGCGGGGCCGGGGTGGGGGGCGGCGCTGAGTGAGGAGGGGCCGTGGGCCTGTCCAGCCCCCAGCTGCCCCGGCTCTTGGAGTCCAGGTGGGCCGTGGGGGTTATGTCCAGATTCCCGCATCTGGTTCTGAGGCTCCCCCTTCTCGCCCCAGCCCCTGGGGTGTGCAGGGTGCTTCCTAGGAGGGGCCCCCAAGGAACCCCACGTAAGCAAAACCTTCACCTTCACCTCGTGCCCTGACCCAGCCAGACTCCCGGAGACGGCTGCCTGCCCTGGGGCTGCTCTTGTGCTCCTGGCTGCCTTCCTGCCTCTCCCCCTCCCCGCAGCAGGGCTGCTGCCCTCCCCTGGGGGTCCACCAGGGCTCCCACACCCCCGCTCCTGTGACTGGCGGGAGAGGACACAGAGCAGGGCACCCCCGTGGCAGTTCTGGGGAGTAAGTCTAGGAAGGCTTCCGGGAGGAGGCGGCAGTGCCCAGGTCAGGTGGGGAGACTGGGACAGGTACCACGCAGACGAACAAACCCGGGGGCCCAGTGCTGTCCAGGGCCAGCCGGCCCGCCCGCACCCCCACCGCCGCCTCGGGGCCTGGACCCGTCCCTGCGGCCCCTCCCCTCCTCTCGGTTGCCTGAGGGCGCCGGGGGAGAGCCTCTGGGCCGTGTGCACTTGGGCTCTGGCTTCTGAGAAACTCGCTGCCCCGTCTGCCGCGTTCCGTGCGCCTGTTGGGGCTCCAGGGGGCGGTGCGTCCCGCCACCTTGACCCGACTCAGGGCCGCGTTCTGGCACCAGGCCCCCGGACCTGCACTCCCAGTGCCCTGGGGACAAAGCGGCAACAGAGCCCAGACGGCAGGGAACACGCCCCGCCCCCCAGCCCGCATCGGGCCTCGCGCAGGCCGGAGGCGCCCCCTAGCGTCGGGGGGTTGTGTCCTCGCGGCCCTGTCCTCCAGCCAGCGGGCCGGCCTGGCTTGGCGTGCGCTCTGGGCACCGGGACCTAACGTCCAGGGTTGTGGGTTGGCTGCCTGGGATGCCAGGGGGATGGAGACCTCTGCGGGGCACCCTGGGCGCCGGGCGGTCGGCACAGGCTGCTCCAGGCCCCCCCAGGGCCCAGCAGCGCAGCTCCACCCCCGGTCCCCGACCTGGCCAGCACCCACCTTCCCCTCCCCGAGGGGAGGAGGGGCCTTCAGAATCTCGTTCGCAGCCTGGGACCGCCCCCTGCCCACGCTGCCGCCCGGCTGGACACGAACCAGGCGCCTGTGTCCTGTCCCCAGGTGGGGGGTGGATGCGTTCAGATGCATTGTCTGTCCCCCATTTTTTTTCCTTCAGAGAGACCCAAATTATTTGTTCCACACGCGGATGCACCAATGATTGCTTTTTTAAAAAGATTTTTTTTTATTTTTAGAGAGAGGCAAAGGGAGAGAGAAAAACATCCACACATGGCTGCCTCTCGCGCGCCCCCCACCGGGGACCTGGCCCACAACCCAGGCCTGTGCCCCAACTGGGAATCGGACCAACGGCCCTCTGGTTCGCAGGCCGGTGTTCAGACCACGGCGCCGCACCGGCCAGGGCTGGTTGCTGCTTTATGTGCCCTGGCCGGGGAGTGAACCTGTGGCCTCGGCGTATCGTGATGACGCTCCAGCCGTGGAGCCCTGGCCAGGGCTGCTGAGGCACCTCTAGATCAGGGCCCTACGGGGGGCGGGGGGGTCCCGCGTCCTGTCTGGAGCAGCCCTGCTGGCGCCCTGAGGGAGCAGCTCGGCCTACGGAAGGCCCGCTTCCCCGGACGTGCTGGGGGCTCCCACGGGGGGCGGGGCCAGGGCACGGGGCCCAGCCAGCAGCCGGAGGGGCAGGACAGGTGGCGCGGGGGCAGCTGGGATTCTCCGGCAGAGCTTCCGGAAGACGAGCAGCACCGGCCTCGCAGCCCCGTTTTCACAGAGGAATGGGGGACCTTTTCTGTCCAATCGCTTCTCTTTGCTGTTTTGGTACTTGTTCTGCCCTGGCTTTGGCCGGGGCGTCCCTTCCGGCGAGCCGCTGTGCCCCGTGACCCCCCGGCCCCCCCAGCAGGGAGTCAGCCTGCCCCGGGCCTGAGCCTTCACGGGGTCTTCTGAACAGCGATTCGCAGGGCTCCAGGGGAGAAACGGGCCCCAGGCCAGGCCTCAGGTCCTGCAGCGCCTGCTGCAGTCCGGCTCCGGTCCCTACCTGCCCACAGCTGGCCAGGGCCACCGGCTCGCAGGCCCACAGTGCGAACAAGGCCCAGGCACAAGGGGTCCGGCGCCCTCTGGAGGCACCCGGGGACACTGGGTGCACAGCCAGGCTGGGCCAGTCATGGCGGGGGCAGAGGCCACGGCCAGCTCAGCGAGGGGGAAGCAGGGGCGGCCCTTGGGTGGGGTGCTGGCCCGCGGCAAGGTCACAAGCAGCCCCCACGGCCCCCCACGTAGCCTGGTGCAAGCACAGGGCCAGGCCCCCGAGACAGGGTGGACACCCAGGGAGGGGCCTGTCCACTGCGGGCCTGGCGGGGAGGCCCCACGGCTGTCCTGCACACCGTGGGGCCCTCTGCCAGGCGGCCCTCCCAGCCAGGCCTCCACACTCCACCAGCGGGGAGGCCCCTGCCCACGGCCCCTCGGCTCTCTGGGGAGCAGGCTGTGGGGGGACCTGCCTGCCATCTCCACGACCCCGCCCCCCTGCTGTGGGGGCTATGCCCTTGGTCCCCACTCTCCCCAAGCCGGAGACCCTCGGGCTTTCGGAACAGGACGAACAGAACTGGCTTTCAGGGCCCTGCTGGGCGGGGGGCCCCAGGTCCAAGGCACCCACTAAGGGGTGCGTGGGGGAGCACCGGTCGGGCAGCGACCGACCCCCTCCCCAGCCCGGACAGAGCAGTCACTGCGTGGGACGGGTCCCCGAGGCGACGCCTTATTCAGTGCCCTCCTTACAGCAGCCCTGGCCAGGCCCCGGCAGTGGAACCACCGCCTGGGCGCACGGAGGGACCGGCAGGCGGCGCCCACGCGCCGGGAGTGGAGGGTCCCAGCGCCCTCCGAGCCCATGGCCGCTCGCCAGCCCCTCTGGCAGGAGGCCAGAGCCAGCCCCGGGCCGCGGCCGGTTGGTCCCAGAGGCAGACGCCACGCAACGGGGACGCCTTCCACCGGGGTTCCGGGTCTCACTTTGAGCTGTTCTAGGAACGTTAATTTGGTATTTTAATAAAAACATTTCTAAAAAAGGTGCTCACGTATAAACCTGGGACCCCAGGGAACACGTGGAAACAGCCAGCGCACACAGGGCCCGGGGCGCCCCTGCCGGCCCCCCGAGAGCCACTGCCTGGAGGTTATTCTTCAGTGACAGGTGTTCTGCCTGCATCTTTAAAAAGTCCCAATTTTGGGTCTCCAAAATGACCACGGGAACCACGCGCCAATTTCCTGCATCTCTACTGAAAAGTGGGCGTTTGGGTGGCGGATGGCACACGCGCCGAGGGCCCGTTTCACCCTCCGGCAGGCGCCGACGTCAGGCGCCTGGCCGCACAGCCCACCCCGCTTCGCACCCCCCGCCCACGACACTCTCGCTTCTGAGCCCACTTTCCACGCCACCCCGGGCACGTTTCAGCTGCCGTGAGGGTCGGGCCAGGGACAGCAGACACGCAGCGGAGGGGAAGCGCTGGCCGACCAGCACCCCCCGCACGGGAGCCGAGCCAGGGTCCGGCCAGCAGCTGGGGCGCCTCGGGCACGCACGGAACCCCTGCAGCGCCAGAGCGGGCAGCTCCTCGAAGCTGCAGACATGGGCGGGCGGCAGAAGGGGCCCACAGGCCGCCGGGCGGGGCAGCTCAACGCCAGGCCACAGACACGCAGGAGGCGTCCGGCGCAGTGGCCGAAACACTGGGAACGCTGCAGCTCCCCATGGTCGCCGCACAAAGGCCCGCGTCTGAGCACACAGCCCTTGTCCGACACCGTGTCGGGTCTCTCGGGGGCTGGTGAGGAGGTTCAGGGGGCTGGGAGGCGCTCGTTCCCGAGTCTCCCGGCCCCTCACCAGGCTCTTCCGGCCCCTCAGCCCTGCCTCCCAGGCTTGCATCCCCCGAAAGAACATTCTTGCCTTCAAAGGGCAGGTCAGACAAAGCTGAGGCCACTGGACGCCTGGCCCTACCGGGCCCCGGGCAGTGGCCCTGCCTGAAGGCCAGGTGCCAAGACTGCTGGCCACCAGGGCGGCAGCCCGAGCCACTCTGCCAGCGCCTGGGGACCCTGCGGGGACCCCAGCCGGCTCCTGCGGGCGGAGCCGTGACCCGCGCAGGCCCCGGTGCTGCGGGGCTGTGGCAGGGCCAGAGGCCGCAGGGCCAGAGGCCACAGGGCCGACCGACGCGGCGGGATCCGCTCCAGTCACCCAAGGGGGCAGCGGGGGCCACCAACCCAAGTTAGGAGACGCTCTAAAACCGCGACAGCACAATAAACCGCTCAGACGTGAACGCTCGTTTGTTCGGCTTCATTGGGGCCTGGGCCCCGGGGCGCATCAGGCGTCACTGAGTGAGGCTGGCTGCCGGGGGGGTGTCTGTGCATGGTAATCGGTACAGGATGAGGTGGACGTACAGGCGGATCAAGAAGAGCTGGCGCACAGACCAGGACGCCCGCGCGGGACGGCACCCCTGCCAGAGCACGGCCCTGCAGCGGCCCCCGCCCGGGCGGTGGGCGCTCCCCGGCA